GTAGAATTAAAAAAACTGAGAAACTTCAGCAAAGCTCGTAGTGTTTCCAAGTTCACTAGCTATAGATGACGGTGTGACTGAAGGACAATCAAAAAATCATTCTGATAAYGCTCTATCCGTTACATGCTCATCATCTAGTTTTTAAGGTAAAAGTGCTGTCCTCTGTGTTTTTTCTTTTAACCGTGTTTCAGTTTTAACCGAGGCAGAACTTTAATATAAATGTTGAGTTTTTTCAGACGAGATTTTTTCTTAAACAGAATTAGTATCCGAGCAACGGAAACTTAATAGGTAAAGTATATACCACACTAAAAACTCGGTCTCGTGATATGTCTGGGCACGGCTTGCTCACAGATAGAGTTGAAATAAAGCGTGTAAGGTTTTTTGAGGGAAGGAGACCTGCGAGAACCCCCCGGAGAAAATACCCTCGATTATATTGCTCACGGGCTCCAAAGCTGAGATTCCATGGATTGAGTTGAGTTTTTGTTGGTTTTATAGCTATGGCAGACACGTAGTGATCATGTTAGGATGTTTTTTAGGTGGCGCTGTTACTTACTAGCACAGTCAGTTTATTGATTATTTTATTAGTAGCGATTTGCAGTGTTTATACAAATATATTAGAAAAGCAAACATGAACCATTCTGTGATTATGTGGTGTTTATATCTTCACATGGGGTAATTCTCATCTAAGATAAAGGGACATGTGTCTCCTGTGGGAGGGAGGGAAGGACAGTGTTGGTTTGAAAATCATTTTGAAGGCCGCTAGATGAATACCTTATGTTTTTTAGGATTGGGTCTCCTCATCGTTGGGGATTCCTGGGTCTCATTCCTACGCGATCCACAGGGTTCCCTATAGAACAGAGACTTGTTTATAACACTGTTTTTTTCTTTCTCCAGGACAAGCTATACATAATAATTATTGTGGACGCTGACGAACCAGGCTGCAAAACCAAACTTCACTACATGATCAGCAATGTACCGGTAAATTGGTAGAAAAATAAATTTATCAAAGCGCGCGCGCGGTGTTCCGCGTTCGTATGAGCGGGAAAAGATATGGCGAATTCGTAACAACCGTACCGTATCGTACGATTGATGTGATTG